CAGTCATTGATATGAGGGAATATGGGAGCAATATAGTAGGTTTCAGTGTTGAGGGTAACTGATGTATTATTGCTGATTCAAGTGAATAAACCTGCCTAACCTGAGGCATTGGGCGATTCTGTTGTTCTTTCATAAAGTTTAGGTATCATAAACAATCTACACTATTTATTGTCCAAAATATATTCTATATTTTCATATGTTTTGAGGGATAGTGTACAATAATACAAACTGCACTTTATCTAGAACGCCCAAAGGTTGTTTGAAGTTACTCCATAACGTTTAAATGCTTTCCTAACAACAGCATCACTATACGTCTCAGGTTAAAGAAGTTTATTTACTTGATATTCAAAAACCAGCAGTTACCCTCAACTCTATAACTGCCTGCCAAGTTCCCCATGCCTCCCTCACACCTATAACTGGTTTCTTTTTCTATACACATTTACTAAACCATAAGCTCGTGTATATACTCTATATAAAGCTTTCTTAAGCCTAATATCCCTTATACTATAAATCTTTTCATTTTATTTTCCATTAATCTCATCATAATTTTACTGATATTAAGCCCTCGGTCATGATATTTGGTTCACACTTGCTTCCTACATATTATAAATAATGTATATTGAGCTCCAGAAGCCCATTGCAAGTTTTTGTCCTTACATGCTTGAATTCCTACCTTCTATTGCTTGCCGCCTCATATATATCTCCCCTTGCAACAGAACGGCACTTACAGATCATTTCCATATATTCTTTATACTATTTACCTGATAATTGGACTTTTAAATAATTTATATGTACTTTCTGGATGTACGTCACACGTCACGGTGAAATACGTTATAGTTGGATAACAAGCCTAAGTCATAGATTCTAATACACGGTTTCCTAATGGTTATTTCCAGGAAATATATTGCACTACTACAGCTATTGGTGAGCGAAACTAGATTTCCATACTTGCCCCAACTGCTGCCTCTATATGTCTTTACACCTTAATGATTTAATGATCCGTGTATAACGAACGATCTCTCTATCACTATTCGTACTTCGAGCTTGCTCTGCACCCCCTTGTAGGATTTCACTGCCTGGATCTACAAGAATTGGCCGAAACGGTCTGAAAGCTTGAAAAGGCTGAATTCTACAATGTAAGTGCATGCAAATAATAACTTTCTACACTTCCATATGCTATATTACATATAAACATAAATACAATGGTAAATTAGGGCGCTACCATTGTGTATGTGTAAGTTTGCTAGGGTACTAAGGTTGTGACCAGTCCATGGACCACGAGCGAATACATGTAAAAGTGGGCGAACTTTCTCACTGTAAATATCAAGCTTACAGCAGCTGACTGAGGATGCATGTTCAATGATGAATGAAAAATAACTAGAGTGAGCACGGCCCAATCCATATGTTCCGGCCCCCCGCGGTAGAACACAAGTAAGTAGAATTGTGATATTAGTTGATACAACGTGGAATAAAGCATGAAATGGAATACAAAGTGGGAGTCATGTATAAAATGAGATTAAGAAGAAGGGCCGGCAGCATGTATTGTGCCCTCCTTGGAGGATTTTGACGAGGATAGAGATTTGGTGGTACATGTGAGTTTTGTAGGGATTAGAGGCTTTCTTCGGTTTCCTTTACAGAAGACTCGCCGGAAGAGGGGGGCCCTAATGTGAAAAGGCACAGCAGAGGTTTGAAACGGGCTTCAGTCAGGCCTCTCGGGGTCATCTGACACTATCCGGTTAATAACAGCATAGGGCTTCCGTTTCACTTGAGTTTATTTGCTTTCTTTTTACCTATATCTGCTTTGGACTCGAGTTCATTTTGTTTGAGGTATATAGGCGCCGGATGTGGCAGATTATCTTGCCTTATCCTGATTCCTGAATCCACCCAGGTTTCCTGGTGGCTCATCATGGCCTCCGCATATGAAAATTATTATTTACTAAATAAATAGTATATAAAATATATGTAAGAGTAATGATTATTTAATAAATTTACATTTACATATAGTTGCAGGCTGGGTCAATGTAGTTAAGGAAGAAGCCTCTCTTAATGTTAGTTGGTTTGCATCATATGGGGATAATGTATGCAATTCATCCAAATCAGGAAGTATGAAATTTGGCAGTTCACGGGATGGGTAAAATAGCCTTTCAGTACGCCATGGATAGTTAGAAGCTGATATCGATCAGGGTGAGGCCTAAGAATGATGTTGCAGAGCAGAACAGCCTATGAGCATCGGTTGATATCAGTCAAATCTGGGAATGTAAAGTGACACTAGGTCATCAACATCAAATTGTGCAATATCTTGGTAAGAAATACCTTGTGTGCTGAGTTCACGTTCTTGCGTGAGCTTATCTTATGCGGCAAGCGGCAATACTCCTGAGAGGCGAGCTCACCATGTGCAGCAAGCATACCTTTAGTGGTGAGCCTACGCTGTGTGACAAAAATGCCGTGCATGGCGAGCTCACCATATGTCGGAAGCATCTTGAGTGGTAAGCATAGGTACTGCCCTTGGTAAGCGGGTCTGAGGCATGCCGTGCACCTCTTGTGCAAGGTACTCACACTTGCATATTTTCCTCTACCCCCCCGTGTAGCTAGCCGACTGCGGAGTGATTCGCATGCCGGAAGAGGGAAAGGGCTGCCGGACATACAAGTAGGTCTGGTGGGGGATGAGGTAGCTGACGAGAGGGCGAGAATGGCAGCATGGATAGGCAAAGGAATGCCACGGCTTGAAATTGCAACACCGGCTGGGATTCGTCGGCCTTCAGGCTTCACCGAAAACCAAAGCCACACACGCGATATGGAGTAACAGAGCAATCAAGGGGTTGGCTTACATGATTACGAATTGGGGTCCACAGAGAGCTGGACAAACATGGTCGGGAGGGCAGAGGATCCCTTTTGCATATGCGACAGCATCCAGAACTCAGCTCCCCTGCCGGAAAGTGCGTGGGTTTGGGACGGGAAGGGGAGGACTTGGGAGGCAGCCGAGGGAGATGAGAAGGTGGTGCGGGAAGGTGTGGGAGACGCTGCATGACAGGGTGGGAGGGCTAGCGGGGGGAAATTAAGAGGCATTTTCTTTAATCGTGTATGTAACGCAGACTATCTTCTTCTGGAGTTGTGAGGGAAGGGACTGGCCCTGGGGTTAGAGAATCTACCGGACAGTCCGGACTTGAGCCGGGGATGCCGTCTCTCGTCATAAGTTAGATCAATCTGAATACGAGTAATGATTTATTAAGAAAAGATTCCCCCTTGGCCCTATACCTTTCCACCTTTCCTTTACCCTATTTCTTCCACCTTCCCTTGGCTGCGCCATTTTTTTTTTTTTTTTTATGGGGTTACACATATTCCAAACACCCTATCCCCTACAGTACACACCCTACTCCTACCCTAATACCAAATCATTATTAATCTGTCACGCTCTCCAACCACTTCCACACCCTTTCGCATGAAAGTCTGAGTTCCGATACAAGTTGCTCGAGCTCTTGCATATCCGAGATCTCCTCTTTCCTTGCCAGATTCTGTACTCCTCCTTTCCAGTATCTCTTTTCATCTGACGCACCATCTTCCATATCACGCTGTAGACGCTCAGCTGTCAACCTCTCTATCTCCGCTCTTCGTTGAACTTGCCGTTGAAAGAACGCACCTCTCCGGGTTTGGCGGGATAAAGGTTGGATTGAATTTGCCTCTGTGGCTAGCATCCTGCGGCCCGGATGCTGCGGCATGCCACAAACTTGAATGCCCGGATGCTGTGGCATGCCACGCAGTTGAATGCCCGGATGCTGCGGCATCCCACGTAGTTGAATGGTGTTTGCGTTGCTACGTGGTATGTTACTATTACGAGGAAGGTGATGGTAACACATTGGCCCTGGGAAAGATAATGCTTGCTGATGGTGACACATAGGCCCTGGGAAAGATAATGCTTGCTGGGAAGCCCTTTCATTGTAACCGAGTCGTGGATAGAATGGTAGTGGTCCCAGTTGTGTATGCCTCTGGGCATGGAGCGCATCATGCCCCAAGTGGTCTCGACCCGTGCAAGTCACAGCTCTAAACTTTGGCTTGCGTGGGGTTGGCCTGGGTTGCGGTTGGAATGGGGGCAGAGCCTGAAGTGGGAGGTGCATCGGTGGGGGTGCCGGGGGTCGCACAGGGGGGGAAGGTGGGCCCGGCGGAAGAGGAGGTTGGATCGACTGCTGGTTGTGGCTCCGGCTGTCATATATATTTGGGTGACGCCGTGGAAGAGGAAACTGTGACCGTGGCATGTTCTTTGAGGCTTTGCTGTGTTTCGTCTTTGAAAGCTGCCTCACCCGAGACAACTATGAACAGAATGTGCCTGAGGCAGCGAGGCCAAAAAGTGAAGTGTGGTGGTGGGGAATTGGAGGCTAGTACCACGAGGCTAGAAAAACTTCGTGAACTGCTTCTCCAAGGATTTCTCGACCTAGGCAGGGTAAGTAACTAGGTACAATGCAATAGGAGGTACAAATGTTGAAGGGCACTGGAATGAGTGTTAACATACGAAAGATGATTTTGAGAGATGAAAGCTGCTGTGCATGCAAGCGTTCGCAATGCCCGGGGCCCCCAGTTGTTGAGTGTCTGGTCTCGGGTTGAGTGAGTCCAGGCACGTTGACTGTGGAGTACAGTTCGCGTAGTGACTCAGGAATGATTTGGGAACCAAACAAAATAGCAACCAAGCCATTACGCCTGCGCCATAAAGTTTATTTAACTTCGGCTGAGATTGATCGGGGCTATTTAGGTACTCCAAGACTGGGTCTAGCCCTAGAGCTGAACAGGAAGTTTGTATGGCCCAAGGGACTCCATGCGCAAGCAAACATCTACTGCCGTAGTCATGGAACAAGCCATGATTATCACGGGAGCCTCAAATCTCAATGAAGTCCACGAAATGGTAGACTTCACACTTCAACAATTCCCTTCAGTCTCGCACAGCCTCCTCTTGGAACTGCGGATATCTGCTGTTGGCTGGTAAAGACTTCATTCCTTCCAGCATACAAGCAGCCGGCGTGGTGTAATTGGTAACACACCAGAGTCTAGAGGAGGGAGGCGTGCACCTCAGCGGTGCGGGGGATCTTGGTTCGAATCCAGGTGCCGGCACTTTTCTTTTTGCACTTTTTTCTGTGTCCTTCCGTTCGGGGGATAGGATGGATGCCCTGGCTGCAAGAGACAAGGCTAGATGGAGCCCCGATGGATCCTCGTGAATTGGTGTACTACACATTCCGAACGTTATGTTAGCTGAGCTGCATAGACAGATTCCACCCTAGTCTGGTTGAAATTCCACCCCAGACTACTCTTCTGCCTTCTCGTAGCAATGGCCAACACAGTGCCATCTCCTCGTCTAAAGTCTGTAGTGGCTGCATAAAGTATCGACATTCGTGTTAGGCCTTCGCAGCTCCCACATCAGAAGGTGGGGGGGGAGCTTTTCGGCTGAATTGCATAACTTCGTTCACCGTGTATCTCATGTACCCCTGGATGAGCCAAACAGCAGCCAGAGCTCATGTATTTATCACTCTCTTATTAGATTTCAGGGAACAGAAAGAGTCAGGTGATTGGTAGTCTGCAGCAGGAACCGAGAGAGCCCCGCCGATGTTGTCTTGGTGTTGTTTCGATGATGTTGTTTCGATGTCTGGGGTGGTGAAGGCTTAATGCCGTCGATCATGCGGGGAAACTTATATACACCCTCCGCCCTGTTAGGCTTGGCAGCCACCCTTGTCTTGTTCCCGCTTTCTAAGCCATCGATCACATAAGACTCGAGTGCAGGTACCTACTGCTGGTTTCTTGAGCCTTATCCATCTATCCCCTTACACGGTATCACTCCTCCTCATCATCCTCGAGCACTCCCTCACAATCTACAACAGGCTTACTTTCATGTCCCTGCGACGCATAACTGCCAATATCTCAAAAATGGATATTCTCCTTGCCCTTGCAGCAGGGGTCGTGATGTTCTCGTACTTCATCCCTACGGTTGAGGCATACAATCCTAAAGAACAACAGGGTAAGTACGCTTTCATGACTTATCGCTGTAAGGGACACAGCTGATTATTTGTAGAGACTAGTAAACGGCCTGCATCGCAGCAGCTCGAGTCACGCCGGGGAGGTCATATGCTTGGTGATTACCCACGGCAAAGTCAACCACCTATTACGGATAGAGCTATCGGCCCACTGGCAGACGTAAAGAAGGAAGAGGATGTCGAAAACAAAGTTGGGAATGACTTAGAAGCGCAGAGTTTATGCGACATTCCACGTGAGGAGGAAAGAATCCTTGCACCGGAGGCGGGGCTTGCCGCCGGATCTCTAATGCTGAGAAGGATCAGAGATCGGACTCTACTCGAACAGCTAGGGGTGGGGAGTTGTGCAAGATATGGGCCACGAGCTCCGCGTCAACGGCCACGACGTCCAGCACTACCGCCATCTACCCTGCATCATGGCCCTCTGTTTCTGTACAACTACGATTCCCGTATCCCTCCTACCGCTATTTCAAGTCTCAATGAGCAAGAATTGCTCAAAACTGTGCCCTCTCATGGTGGCCTCGTACCTTCGGATCCTCAACCGGCTGCGATTGCAGCTCACAACCCCCCAAAACTGGAAGAAGCCGGGGATCCTCCATTAGAAACTCCGTCATACGGAGCAATTGTGTCGTATTTCTCCCCTAGCGCATGCAACTTACTCACGAAGGATAATATCCATAACCGGATCCGGGCAAACCAATTTCCTCAGCGGCAGTTTATGAACCCTCGCCCCCATCAAGAACCTAATACATCTCATGTAAACTTCATCAACCCGATAACTCAATATCTTCCAGGCCAGCTTGGCGTACCTCGCTTCCTCGAGAATCCCCATGATGGTTATAATGATCGACTGGGATTAGCGTTCCATCCTCCATTGGTGATAGGCTTCAACCGCAATTCAAGGACTGGGCGAGAGCATGCCCGTATTCCACCCCAAGCAATAGATTACCGTGGGTCTGGAGGTCCAAGTTTGGTCATACCAAACGATTCAATACCTACGCCCCCGAGTAGCTTTGAAGCCTCTGCCTGGGAAAGGCACTCATCTACTAGGACCAAGACAAACTCACCTGGTACTACGTCGAGAAATTTTGAAGCCTCTGTCTGGGAAAGCTACTCGTCCACCAGACGTCGTGTTAATGTGAATACGATTGCCTTTTCTCGCGCAACATCTGATCCGGTAATCCGCGAATTGCGAAACCAAGAAACGCTCGCTCAAACCAACCATCTTGCTCTGGCAAAAGCATGTCAATCGGATCCTAATGCATCTTCAAGATCCAGGGATTACGTTGTCCCAAGAGACCTTGCCGCGTTACTTGGGCTACCCTCAGCCGACCAAGATGATGACGGCAGTTCTTCCGAGTCCTCCAACCCCGGCCTACCTAGGTCCATTGCCTCTTTCCTTGGGCTACCATCCGCCGACAAAGGCGGTGGCGACAGTTCTTCTCCTGAGGCCACCAAACCCAGCTTACCTAGGGCAATTCCCTCTTCCCCATCGGTACAAGGGGATTTTGATAGGCCCCCCCCCTACGAGCTCTCCGCCACTTCCTCCGGCCTTCTATACTTGCCTGCAGATCCACCGCAGAAAACCAGTGGCATCGTACATAGTGAACTGACAGGGGCTGACTATGTTTCCGTTCCCCAACATCATACACGAAGGGCAGCTCAAACTCTCCCTGACAATGAACCCCCGGCTAGCCTACGAAATGACAAACTCCTCGCGCAATTACAGCAATTCGCTACCGGCAATGCCATCATTGAGGGTGCGAGAGGTACATCCCCTTCAGGCATCCCGCGACTTGCGCCTATTATTGACCCAGTGCACGGTGGTACAAGGACCACCGTGGCGGATATTGTCCGAACCCGTCCTGGCAAGGAGGTATTTCAGCCCAAACCTGGGAATCCACTCCGGCGCAAGGAATTACGTGACCATAATTATCGAGAGATTCCAGAAACCGAGGGGGATGGTGCTATGGGGCATTCCTTGAGGGGAGGAGAAGCTCCGGATTATATGGCGATGGTGCCGCTTCGCCCAAGAGGTCGGAGCATCGCAAACACCTTTGACCATGCTCATGCCAGTGCTTTGTCAACCGAAAACCCAAAAAATCGGGAGGAAGAGCTTGTGGCCACAGAGCATTCAATGGCGTCACTGGTCCCACCGCCTCACCAAGACCCCACACAAGAGATTGTCAAAAGGGTCGAAAACTCACATGGAGAAATTGACTTCGAGTGGAAATTTACAGAACCTACATACGAATTTTCTGCAGGGTCTGCCATGACGATAAATTCCCAGCGAACCTCATCTCCGATCCCGTCCACTGCCAGTGCACTATATTCGCCGGGGGATGTTTCTGATGCGGGAGCGTCAGGATTAGATCAAGCAATATCCACTTCCTCATTCCCAAGTCGTGAAAGGCGAATTCTTCTCCCACCTGCTTTAGGCTCCTCAGGTCTTCCTACGCCTCCGCCCAGCTGGCGACTCCCAAGCCACCACAGTCCATCTCGCATTCCCGTTCCATGCGGTGGGGAAACTTACCACGGCCACCTTTCGCCACAGAGAAGGGCTGGATTGTCTTCTATCATGCCGCCGTCTCCCACAAAGCCATCTACCAGGCTACCTACCGCACCCAAGATCCCACCTCTAATATCGGTTCCTACCATACGAAAACTCCACCAGCCATCTCTCCATGAAGCTCCATCCAACCCAATTCACGTCGAAGACTCCCCCTTTGGCGAAATGGCATTTTCATTGGAGATCGACGAGGTTGAACCTGGTCCGACAAAAAGTTTGTCTCTTCCTTCATTCAACCGCCCAAAGAAACCCCGTAAGAGATTGACGGAGGAGTCACTGAGGGTATGGATGCTGAGGCAATGTTATCTAGCGAAATTGAATGCAGCGTATGAGGAAGTAGTGCATAAGGAAGAAGAGGTTGATCGAGAAGGTTTGATGGATTTGGAGGTGTTCATGGAAGATGGGGGGAGTTTCATCTGAAGGAATGTTGGAGGCGTTAATGTGGCATTGGAGGGCAGGGGTGGTTAGAGGGTATGTACAGTACAAAAATGAGGGATAAATAGAATCTTACAAAAGCGAGAGAGAATGAACTCTATATATCTAGTATGAACAGAACAGGGGGCCCACGCCAAGGGAAATTAACGCCGTCTCTAGCAAAGAAATAGAATAGGTGTATTAATATACTTCCTGCTGAAGCACGAATGCCCAGGCGCTAACGCAGTAACTAATAATCAAATTTTCATTTTAATCGTATAGATACTTGTCTACGGAGGGTGTAGTCTCGAACCCGACCGCTCCTAGGGAGGTGTTGCGCCAACCAGATTAGTTATGTGTAACCAGACTAAGTTATGTGACTTGCTTGTTATTGGGCAAAGGAGGGTGTTGTGCCAACCAGACTAGTTATTGGTTGGTCATTGGGTGGGGGTGGGTCGGTAGTCTGGTTGCACTACCTTTTTTGCCCGCTAGTGAACGCTGGTTATCTCAAAAACCTAAGGGTCATAGTCGCTAGTCTGGTTGCGCATGTCGCGAGTTTGAATGTAAATAGATTGCTATGCCGAAGGAGTATTTCATATGAGTGATTTGTGATTGGCGCCATGCATGTCTGAAACGTTGCGCGAAACGTTAATGTTATTTAGGTTTCATGGCGATATCGATACGTCAAAAGTTTAGTGGTAAAACCTATGTGATTTGCGTTACCCTCAACCTTTTATGTTACATGCGTCTAGTCTTTTTTTTATATTATTTTTAGGGGGGGAAGGGAGAAATTAGTACTCGTATTTATACTCTGGTTGATACTAAATGTACTCAAAATTAAATTTACGCACTTACGCATGCATAAAACTAAAGAATCTGGCGCCTTGGCTGCATGGGACTAAATTTCCAGCCAATGAGCTTCAATGCCAAGCTTACGCATTAGACATACGTGATGGGTACCGAATTCGATGGCTAACTTCTGGCACGTAAGTTTGAGTTTGAATTGCCACTGACTTTATGGAACATGTTTGAGATACAGCGCTAACCTCTCTACTAGACACAACAACCTCGCTACTTGGGTAGTCTGGTTGGCACAAGCCGCTCGT